GTGACAGGCGGCTATTTGGAGCGACAGGCAGCGACAGCGGCAACACCTTTGCAACAATGTTGCTGGGGTGACCGACAGCAATTAACATGCCACGAGAGAGTCTTGATCACAATAATATGCAGCGCGCCAGCAACATGTTGCGCAACTTATCAAAATAATCATCATTCACATCGACAACGGCACAACCACAACAACAACAGCAGCAGCAGCAATAGCAACGCAGGCAGCATTATGATAATCGCAATGCGGCGGCAATGTTGAAACAAACAGCAACAAAAAATTGCAACTGTTTCTTATGCAGCATAGTGTTGCCGGCCAACGCCACCCCCATTGCCCCTTCTCGCGGCAAAATGCAACTGCTGCATGTTGCAATTAATAATCGACGTGGCTAAGCAACTCGCAAGGCGCGGCGACAACAACAACAACAACATCATCAGCAGCAGCAGCAGCAGCATCAGCAACCGCAGCAGCAACAGCAACAACAACAACTGCGTCGTGCGCCCTTCTTTTTGATTTAAAATGTGCCGCCACCGTTTTGGCCCGCACGTAGGCGTACTCACACGCAGCACACATATATATATATACATATATATATATATATATATATAATGTATACCACATATTCTATATATAGTATAGTGTATACCATCCAGCTGCGTCAACAGGTCGCCCTTTGGGCGCTAGACTTGCCACAAGGTAACAAGTGTTATTGTTGCTGTTGCTGTTGCTGCTGCGGTTGCTGCAACCACTTGGCATCATCAGTCAAGTGAGTTTGGTGGTGCAATGTCACTGTCGCTGTGGTTGCCGTGGTTGTTTTGGCATTAGCCTTGTGCACTTTTGTGTGGGTCGGCAGATTGCCATCAGCTGCCATCACTGGACACCAATTGTTGCTGCTGTTCTTCCTGTTGCTGATAATCAACTAGGCCAGAGTTATTTATATTTTTATAAATTTTCAAATTTATTATGCTGATTAATAAAAATACAGATCGAAATGAATAGTTATGAGATAAAAGAACTCGCTAATGGGATTAATAATGTGCAAAAAAAGGGAATGCAATAAGAATTCTATTTAATAGTTGTTATTAATTTGATAAACTAATAATAATTAGGCAGTAAATCAAACTTAGTCACGGCAGCGTTAAACCAAGCAACTAGCAACTTAACTTAAATTAAGTTCTTATCGTAATCGCAAGTTAATCGTGGTATAAGATTTTAGCAGTTTGGCTCAAAAAAGCATATGAAAGTTGCATGTCTGCCAGGATTGCATAACTTAAAGTTCAGTTTTCAACTTAATGGCTATGATAATATGTCTGTAGAATGTGGAATGTAGAATGTAGAATGTTGAATGTTAAATGTTGAATGTTGAATGTGATAAATTAAAGCTTTGAGCTCGGCTAAGTGGCTTCACTTTGTCATCAGTTTCATTTTGCAAAATGTATCCACAATAAACAATAAGGAAAATGAAAAGCAGCATTCAAAACTGAACTCAACCCGAGTCAGATATGTGCGTTTTTGACACCATGCCACGCCCATGACATGGGCAAATTTATGTGGCCCACTAATAAGCAAGTTTGCTGGCAATTACGCTTCTAAATAAATAAATCAGCGCCGCTAACTTCGATGGCGGCGGCGCCTTTGTAGAAGCCACTTTAAGGAGAGCCGCTGGGTGCCGCGTGCTGTGGGTGTGACAAGTGCAGCAGCAGCAGCAGCAGCAACAGCAGCAGCAACAGCAGCAGCAACAGCGAGTGGTGCTGTGGTGCAGCGGTCCAGCGGCGCCATTCAAATTCAAATTCACATGTGATCGCCCAAGCATGAGTCAGCTACTCTGCACGGAGGTGGCCTGTGGATTGCACAACTCTGCCGGGAGAAGCGCAAAAGCGAGAAGAGAAGAGAAGAGCAGAGAGGAGAGAAGCAAGTTGAGAAGCTTCTAAGCTGCGCTGCTCGTCAGCGGTGCTTAATTAGAAAATTGCTAATAACTCATGCACACGAACAAATTTCAATATTAATGAGGTTTTAAGGCAGCAACCACAAACCAGCAACAACAACAACAACAACAACAACAGCAGCAGCAGCAGCAACTTTGGCACTGCGGCAACTGCAACGGCAGCGGCAACAACGTCGACTTAATTGAAAACTTTTTGAATCGTGCCGTCAAATGAAGGGGAAGCAACAGCAGCGGCAGCCGCAGCAGCAGCAACAGCAGCAGCAACAGCAGCAGCAACAGCAGCAGCAGCCCTGGCCCAAACTGTGCGCAATGGGAGGCACAGCGGCAATTGTTGCTGCTGCCTGTCTTACGCTGGCAGCCTGTTGCTCCTGCTGCTCATTAAGTTGCATGAAAACTCAATAGGCTGCTGTTCTTGTTGCTATTGCTTCATTTTTTTGCTGTTCTTTTGCGCAATTAACGGTTGCCGTCTTTGACTGATTTAGTTGTCAGCTGAGCGGCAGCAACATGTTGCTGGCATTCATAATTAGCATGCAAACGGCATAAATCGCAGCAGCAACAGCTGCAGTGGCAGCAACAACAATTAACAGACCCAAATTGCATGCAACACACACACACACACACACAGACACAAGAGGCACAAATGTAAACTGCCGCTTTCTCTGTCTATCACACAGTTCACTGCTGTTGCTGCTGTTGCTGCTTTTGATGTTGTTGCTACTTAGCATGCAGTACAGCGTTTGATGTCTGCAACAGAACACGTAGGCAACAGCAACAACAGTGACTGTCAATTATATTAGTTGCTGTTACACAGCGCGCTAATTCAAAAATCATGCGTGGGCAGCCGACAGCAACCAGGCACGCCAGCAACATTGCCCTCTGTGCCAGCAGCAACATAGACTCTAGCAACTTTTCTTAATTAAGTGACGACCTGTTGTTGCTGCCGCCGCTGCTGCTGCTGCTGCTCAGCTGTTGCAGCATGCAAATTTAATTTGCGACTTGCCGCGACCTTTGGCCATTGCGTGTTGCTGCTGTTGATGCTGCTGTTGTTCGAGACGGGGCCATAACTTCTCGGCAGCAACATATAGCATTGTTGTTCGGCCACAAATTGATATTTAACTGGTTGCTAGCCAACCTGGTAAAAGTTCGCACGACTTTTCGCAGCCAAATGCACGCGTATTTAACATTTACAATCCGTTCGATCTTCTCTCTTCTCTCTTCCGATCTCTTCTCGCTTGCCCTATCCGATCTACAATGCAATCTCCTCGATATTCTCGATCGTTGCTCGTTGTTGTCGTTATCTGTGGCAATATCTCTATCTGGGGCCAATTCACTTATGTTGCCTGCTGCCATTTCTATCTATCGTGTGTGCGCCGTTAATGTTTTTACTTATCCACACACACACACACACACACACACACATATATATACACACACACATTAAGACGACGCGTTGCATGCTGTGTGCGTAGTGCAATAAATCAAAGTTTTATTTGTTGAAATAAATTCACAGTTTATTGCTTCGTTATTATTTGCGCGACTGCTGCTGCTGCTGCTGCTGTTGCTGCTGTGAGTGTTGCTGCTGTTGTTGTTGTTGCTGTTGCCGTTGCTGTTGCTGTGAGTACAACAGCAACAAACACAACTGCGACAGACAGCCATCAAACACTCGCAACAAACAACGCATGCCGGAAATGTTTATTGTTCTTGTTGCTATTACTGTTTTGTTGTTGCTGTTGTTTGTTGTGGCTGTTGTTTGTTGTTGCTGATCTCCTTCCAATTTTTGTTTTTGCTTTGCCGTGCCACGTTGATTGCCATTGCCTGAATATCATGCGTTTCGCTTACGGTCATCAAATTAATTAAAATCGAATTTATAACGTCATTTATTGCCTCATGGATTGTGAAACGCCTTCAAAATAATCCACAAGCAGTTACAAGTCTCAGATTACGTCCATAAGGAAGTACTTTAGCCAGCTATCAGCCAGAGCTTTAAGCCTTATGCTCAGTTTCCAATTACATTGCAATATTTTATGGCACTTGCTAAATGAGCCCAAGAATACCGATTCATATTCATAAGCAGCAATATTCACTGCTCCACATCTAAATAACTATTCTTCAAGAATTTGTTCAATCTAAAACTTTATTGTCCTCGAAACTACTGAAACCTAAAAGTGGCTTTAAGTGAATTTTCATTAAGGCTAATTCCATTTGCTTAAATATTATTGCGCATGCACTTAATGAGCATGCCAATTAAATAATAACTCAAAATTTCTTAGCCCAAAATATAGAAATATTTCGCACAGCTTGTCGAAAATCGCAAGTCAAGTTGGTCTGCGGCAATACCACGCCCCCCGAGCACACCAAACAGCCAAACCAACCAACTGGCAGTCCGTCCACCTGCCGGACTGTCTGTCTGTCTGTATGTCTCTCTGTCCGTCTGTCTGTCTGTCTCTCTGTCCGTCTGTCTGTCTGTCTGTCTGTCATGAGGTTTACGGTGACATTTTTGAACCCTGACCGTTTTTTAATTTACAGGCTGAGGCAACACGCTGTGGCAAATGCAACCGCACGCTTTGCCATTAATTAGTGATACGAGATACAAAATGCAGCTATAAGATAGAAATAATATATTTATATATATATATATATATATAGTAGGTGTGTGTGCGAATATTACGCAATGCCTTCAATTAACAAACTTGGGACGCTAAATTGAGAAATGATTCACATGCCTCGCCTAATTCATGCTAAGAACGATAGTTATTTAGATAACGATTAATTGAACGTTGCAACACATTGTTACAGTGTACAACGGCAATTTTAAGCAAAGAAAAACTTAAATCCAGATACAATATCAATGAAAGCAAATCTTCAATTTGTTGGGCTCAACTCGTAGTCGAACTGTATCCAATGTGAAATGTAATACTTTTAAATAGAATTAAATATAATATCTCTCAAGTGATTACTTATGCTTAAATTAATATTAATAATTGTTTTAAATTAATATTAATAATTGCTTCGATTTTTTTTAAATAATTATTTTGTATCTTTGATCTATTTGCAGCAGCGTAAGCTGTCACCGACATGGGCAGTGAGCAATACTGCTTGAGGTGGAACAATCATCAATCCAACCTGTTAGGGGTGTTTAGTCAATTATTACAGGACGAGAGCCTGGTGGACGTTACATTAGCTTGTTCAGGGGGCCCATCCATCAGAGCCCATAAGGTGAGTTCCCAAAAAGCACACAAAGAAATACAAATCTATACAAATATGTTTAGATATGTTGCCTATGCCTACAACAACTATATTTTTAACAACTGCAACTTGACATTCTAGTTGATATCAGCTCAACTAAATCTGCTTTCTGATTTTATTTATTTATTTATATTTTGTTTAATGAATATATTGTTCAAGATGAGACTAGTTGTTTATTCATATTCTGATAATGTTGATAGATTAGTTGCCTTATAAATTATTAACTTATGCAATTTGCTTATTTTATATGAATTGCATTTAAATCGCAGCTGGTTGGCAGCGCTGTTAACGAGCAACTGCAACTGCAACTGTAAAATGCGGAAGCTGTCGCCAGTGTTGCGATCAAGGTCGCCGTTGCTGTTGCCGTTGGCGTCGCTGTTGCTGTTGTTGTTGTTGTTGAAGTTGCTGTTGCTGTTGGCGTTGTAGGCCTCTCAAAATGCCAGCCGCATAAATTAACGAAGCAACAACAAACAAACAGCAACAGCAACAATAGCAACAACAAACGGCAAACCACAACACGATCAAATGCAATTTACACATTTGTCAGTAAATTGTCAACTTAGCGCGGCAAACAGAGCAGAAGACTGGTGAGGGGAGCAAGGGGCAACGACGGCAACAGCGCTGTTGGCGTCGCTGCATGTTGCTGGCGTCGCTTGTTTGTTGCTGGCAACATTGTTGACAAGGTCAGCGTCTAATAGAAATTGACTGCGCCCCGCCACGTGGCTGCTGCCCATGTGTGCTGTGCTGTGTGCTGTGTGTGTGTGTGTGTGTGTGAGTACATAAATCATGCGTTGCCAGGCAGCAACAGCAACAGCAGCAGGAACAACAACAACAACAGCAGCAGCAGCAGCAACGTTTTGCGCACGTCTGTCAATTGAAATTCCTGTTAAATTAAGCGGAAAATATTTAACTGCAGCAAGCAACACCAACACCAACAGCAACAGCAACAAGACAACAACCTGTAGCCAAGTTGTTGCTGCTACCTTTTGATGTTTCTGCTGATAAAGTTATTTTGAATGTAATTTCTTGCCGCCGCATAGCAAAACTGGTAAATTGTTCAATTATAATGCGTTTACTATGCGCTTGCTTGCAACAACAACAACTAGCAACTAGCAACAGCAACAGCAACAACAACAACAATAAATGACACTGATATGGCCAGTGATTGCCAGTTGAAGTGGCTCAGCGTCAGCGTTGCAAAGTTGCAAAGTTGCAAAGTTGCTCATTACGTTTAGGAGCATTTAGGCCGGACACAAAACGCATTTTATGCATTTTCTCAACACTTTCGAGTCGAACTTTGAATGCCGCCTTCGCCTTTCGCGAATTTCCATGAACTAGACAACCACAATTTGCTGCAAGTTGGCAGCGGCAACTGCCGCATAAACTCATTACAAATTAAAGACATTTTGAATGTTCTTCGAACTGTATTCAAACTGCCTAATCAAATAGTCTGCACCAGCTAGGTGCATAATTGATTTACCCTGCCTCTCCTCTCACAATCCCAAGTTGGTCATATCATGATGTCAGCTCCTTTTCAATATTTTGCTGTCCTTTTTCTTTTTTTGCGGAATCAACTTCATTAGCCGCGCAGACAACAACAGCAAACAGGAGCAACAAATGTGGCAGGAGAGGGTTGAGAACAAACTGATGAATTCATTTCCTTTTTAGACAGACTTTTAGGCAACAAATATTGCCGAAGGCAGACAAAAAATTACACACACAAAAAAAAAACCCAAAAAAGAGCAAGAAAAACAAAGCTTAGCAAATGAAGAATCAAAATCAGCAAAAGAAAAAGAAAATGAAAAAGATAAAGATAAAACAAACAAATATTTGAAACAGAAACTGGGAGACGATGGACTCTGATTACGATTCAAATCCGGAGACGACTCCTTCGCATACATGTGTTGCTCCTGCTGTTGTCGCTTTGCCAAACTAATTAGCAAATGTACACACACACACACACATACACACACACACACACATGCATTTGCCGGCATGTCAACGTTTATAAAAGTTAATAAAGCAAAGAATTGAAATGTTGAAGCAACTCGAAGATGAAGTGGCTGAGGCAGTCGAATCCAAAGCCAAAGCCAAAGCCAAACCCAAAGCCAGCTGTCAATTACTTTTGCATATCCTTGCCAACGATGCTGGTTTGGTTATTGCCTTTATTGTTTTTGTTGTTTTTGTTGTTCTTGTTGTTCTTGTTGTTTTTGTTGATAACGAGTTCAGTTTTGACGCTGCAGGCGCCTTCACAACCGGCCAAAGAGCGACAAAAAATTGTTAAATTGATTAAAAAGCAAAGTGTCGATGAACGAGCCAATGATGACAGCAACCAGCAGCCAGCAGCCCCGGCCAGTCAGGACATTTAGCCAGCAGGCAGCCAGGACATGCCAAAGTCAATGTGCAACAAACAAAAAAAAAATAGAAAAAAGAAGAAAAAAACAAACTGCGAGACGAGAAAAAAACACTGCACGTGAGCGAAGTGGATAACATCAGCCAGAGTTGACTGGCTGGTCTGCTGACGTCAGCGTGCGCCGCATGTCCTCGCCAATCCTCCCACCCCTCGCTCACCCTCCGCGTCCTGCAGGCCAACTGCAAAACTAAATGAGTGCGTGGGTTGACTTTAAAGTCGGACTTGGTGTTTGCTCAAATCATCATCAAATCTGAGCAGCATTTGACATTTCTGTCTGACTCAATTGAGAGTCACGCTGTATTTATCCCGTTAATTCCTATACTCGAACTATATATATATTATATAATAGTTTTGAAAGCAGTTTTGAGATTCGAATTATTCAATGAAATGCCACATTTAATAGCCATAGCCACAAGCCGTACAGTGAAAGACAAGAGTACTGCAAGCCCAATATTATTTCGTTTCCGCTTCCGGTACGGTTAAATATTAAGGTTTCCGGTAAATGTTATGAATTGGTTGCAATTTTCAATAATATCGGTTGCTTTTACTATTAAAACAAGAAGGAACAGTTAGCTTAGATTATTATTTATTATAATTATATAGATTATTTATTATAATTCATCTGTGGACATATCAATTTCAGTTTGCCAATAGCTTTTCCTGTTTTTAGTTTTAGCTAAGAAATTCTCGTTCTAAATAAATATTTGTGAGAAATGTTTTTAGTTGAATAGTTCCAGATTATGCCACATTTATTTATTGATATTGTTCGTCTGCTGAAGCTGATCAAGACTGTATAGATGCTATATGGATTCGAAGTTATTAACTTGAAAACAGAATTCAAATGCCCTCAACAAGGCTAGCAAAAAAAAAAGTGTTGAATCTTAGTTCCGTTTCCGGTTTGACACCCTGCTGCAAACTTGTTAAGCTGCCCGCTTTTTTATCTATTGCGTCTCATAGTTCTATGCACGTGTGTGTGTGCGTGTGTGTGTGTGTGTGTGTGTGTGTGTGTGTGTGTGTGTGTGTGTGTGTGTGTGTGTTAGATAGTTTTTGCTGCTGCCTCTGGCTTTTGTAATCCACTCGTTTTTATACGTATGTTTCAACTACTACTTTTTTTTGGTTGGTTGGTTGGTTGGTTGGCTGGTTGGCTGGTTGCCGTGGCCATTTGGTATCAATGCTCCAAACGGCAGCGGCACTTTAACTCAATTTGAGGCATTTAACGTATGCCTGGTTGATATTTGATGCGATTTGAGAGCCGCCCACCCACAGCTGCACCCACCTTTATGGTCGGTCACTTGTTGTTGTCGATGCGGATCTGTTGCCCAAAGGCTAACAAAGTGTAACAAATGCCTTGGTCGAGATACAGTGGTGTCGTCGCTGGTTCAGCCCTGGTACACCACTAAAACTAGGGAGTTAGCACCCAGCCGTGTTGACTGCTCTTCATTGTTGTTGCCGGCAAATGACTTTCGACAACTTTCGGGCAACTAGCAAAAAATGCGAGAAAAAAATGAGAGAAAAACTCATGCAAATATTTGCAAGGATTTCGTTTCTTTTTTTGTTTTTTTTTTTTTGTTTTCTGTGTAATTTACTCAGTGCGGATTGATTTGGAGGAGGGGTGCAGGGGTGGGTCGGGGTGGGAGGAGCGCTTGTGTTATCTTAAGCTGATTTGTTGGCTCTGGAGCTGAAGAGCTGAAGAGCTGATTGAGTTGAGCTAATCCTTTCGGCTGGCTCCTGGCGCCTAAGTCAATTTGCAAATAGAAATTGATCGAGTGGGCGTTTTTGTAGTTGTGCTGCGGCTGTGGCTGTGGCTGAGGCTGAGGCTGTTGCGGGTAGGCGTGGCACGCGTACGTATGAACATGCATGTTCAACAACATGCCACACATGATTGTTCGCTGGCATTGTTGTTGCAATTGCTGTTGTCAAAATGCATATGCAAACACTTAACAGCAACAGCAGCAACAACAGCAACAACACAAGCACCAGCTCGTAAGTCTTGCCAACACTTTTTTGACAAGCCGCTAGCAACAACAACAACAACAACAGCAACAGCAACATGGCGTGGCTGCCTCTATTGGCAGCTGCAACAACTTGCAACATATGTCAGACAACAGCAGCAACAATTGCAGCTACAACAAAACAAATTGCCTGCCTAGCAAAAATCAAGTAAAATGTCAAAAAATGCCACAATTTTCATATCGAATAAAAGAAACAGCCGAAGCAAGCGCAAATAATAATAAGAATAATAAGAATAATAATAATAATAGCAGCAATAGTAGAAATAACGCATTTTTCTCTGTCAAAAGTGGTTGTTGTTGTTGTTGCCATTGTTGCTGTTGGCAGCGCTAATTGTTGCTTGTCATTGATAAGCAGCTGAAAGCTTTGTGCAGAGAACTACAACAAGGGGAAGGGAAGGGGAGGGGAGGGGAGGGGCACGGGCCAACACAGTTAAGCAATTGCTGTTATTAAGTGCATGCAAAGCCTCTCACTGTTGCAGAGCAAAAGGACAAGAATGTGGCAAGCAAGCAAACAAGCAAACAGGTATTCGAAGCGATCTGACCCA